CAAAGAATGAGAAGGTATGCTCTTGCTTCTTTCTCATTCCCTGGGCCAGACCAGGCTGTTCTTACGCTCTTCTGTCCCACTCAAAGCTTCTTCCAAGCTGGTGGGGCCCTTGACTCGCAGATAACTGACTCACAATATATCAATGGCTTTCTTGAGGGCCCAGGGCCCAACGGCTTCATGTCAGCCGGTCCTCTGGATGAGGGAGTGGGATTGAGGGAGCGAGGCAAAGATACGGAGCAGCAGAGATCGTCCGGCAGTGACGACGGAGCAATCAACAGTGCGTACACTTGCTGTTCACTTAGCATACATATTACTGACGCTTTCACACTATAATAGAACACTCTCCGACTCCTTCACGCTCACCTTCAGAGACGACTCCAGAACCAAACTCGGACCAAACCGCCCTTGCAAAGCACGAGCCAAGAAGTTTTGCAAAATTGTCAGCACCTTCAACTCCAAGTCCCACATGCCTAGGAAATGTTTCAAGCTCAGGCACCCAAGCACTCGAGGGCAGTCGGCAGCTTGACTCACCGCCCTTTCACATCAATCGGCCTCTCGTACTGCATGTCCACCCATCCAAGATGTATCCCGGTACTCGACAGGTGTACCGGGAGCTCAAGCTGGCTTTAGAGCGCATCGGAAAGACAGAATACGAGATTCAAGAAGCAGCGCGTGTAGAGTATTTGAGGCGAGTTGGGCTTGGGTTGCTGCCTATGCCATCAGAAAATTTTTTGCGGATTGCTCTTGTACCGATAGCTCCTCCTGATGCTGCGTTGTAGTGTAAACATAGAGCTCCCCCCCCCCCAAAATTGACCAATTATAACGTTTGACATTATATTACTGTTTCATAAACATGTCTGTCGGTGAAGGGACTAACCCAAAACTTCTCGCATACATCAAGCACGTTGCTGCTCGACCACTCACGCGGCGCAACAGCTCCGAAGCATGGATACAAATGCACACTTCGGCGGATGCTCTCCACTGCAATAACAGCACCAGTCCGCGTTCCATCAGCGTTGGTCATAGGCGTCACCTTGTACATGCCATGCTGGGGATCTGGCTGCGTGAAGTTGGAGAACCACTCCACATATGCGAGATATTCTGGAGGGTCTACAAAGGGAAGTAGGATTCTTCGATAGCGTATAGGAATGGTGAATATTGCCCGAACACGGCAGACCCGATAGCCTACGGTTGGGATCTTGTTAGCCAATATGTGTGGTACTTCAAGGTGTAGCAACATACCCTCAACGCCAATAGCACTTCCTGTACCCAGATTTACAATAGCCGTGTCAAAACGGCCAGCAACTTGCTGGCCGCGCTTATTCAGTCGTCCACCCGGGGTTGCGTAAATGGCGTCGTACTCATCTGATGCCTGCCGATAGAGGAGAAAGTCGCTCTCCCAAAATTTAGCCTTGTGGTAAACTGGCAGTTTACGGAACAGTAAACGAAGAGTAGTGGTGAGACGAACAACTTCTGCACGGGAAGCATCCGGGTGATTGAGACGTACGATGTACTTTGCAATTGCTCGCACAATGTATTTGGCGCCATACACCTGTTCGAGACGATCCAGCGATACGGCCTTGACTGATGGCTCCCGTGTCATGAGAACATGGCTGGCTTGGTGCTTGTGCAAGACGTTTGCTAGCTTGAGCGATGGCTGGCTGTCCTTGAGCCATTTGATGTACCGATCATGCCGGAGAACCTTCTCCTTACGCTCGAGCCATACTGTCATCTGCTCGTACTCGTCTTTCTTGTTCGTAGAGCGGTAGGCGTCCTTTGCAAGGTCAATGTGGAGGCGTTCAGTGTATTCCGTGTTGAAGTTTGGAGTTGTTCCGAGCATCTCAATACCTTTGTGATAGTGCCACATCGAGTGGACCTTTGGAAGATTAAAATCGCCTCGGATGTCAAGATCTATAAACACCTGTTTGTTCTCATGAAACCGCTGCAGGGCGTCATCAAGGGCATCAAGGGACTGGTGGCTATGCACCGGGTACTGTGCGAGGTAGACGAAGTCGAGGATTGCCCGGACAGCGCGGACAAGACGTAGGTGGGACATGCCATTTGGAAGGCGCAGATCAATTACAAGGCCCAGCAAAATGCGGCAGATGTCGGCGTGCTCCCGACCTGTGAGCTGTGACAGCTTGGTGATGCCTTTGTAGAACAGGCGCACGTTGTGGTTCGGTGGAAACCGTCGGCACCGGGCATCGATCTCGTCCTCTGAATATGCCTCCTTGGCCCAGGCGACAAGATGCTTTACGACACCCTGTAGGAGTTGATGTAGGATGTCCGGGGTGATGGACGTGTAGACATCGGAGTATGGGAGGTTCTGCCAAAATGGTTTGTACACAGGCTTGATTCCTGC